CATATTTGGTCAGATACGAGCAGCGGTCAGCCTACACGCACGTCTGGCGCGAATGGACAACCTTCCCCGAGCTCGGCGCGGCCCTGCGCACCTTCGCAAGTGGGCTCACTCAGCGGCCCAGCACAACAACCAAGCAGCGCCGTTATTTGACGGAGCTTGTCCAGATCCCGCGTCCACATCTTGAACTTGCGTCGGAAAAAGAAGGTCGCGCACGCGCTGCGGATGGAACGCGATCGTCTCCTTGCGCTTGTCGCAACAGTCACTGTACTGCGCCTTACGCTGCTCGCCGAAGGTGGCCTCGTAGTGCTCGACTAGAGAAGAAGCTCGATTTTGCTCGGTTGTCAACTTTGCTTTGCGCTCGCCCGAGATGGCTCCCTTCCCGATCTCCAACCGCATCTTGAATTCAATGTTCGCCATCCCGAGCTTTGCAGTCGGATCTCGCTCGGCTGGATGTGCACGCGTCGTCACCCGGCAGAAGCGGCCAATCTCACTCGCTGAGGTGCGAGCATGCCTCGACCCTCATCATCCCAAGCTCCCGAGTCATGTGCATTTGAAAACGACGACGCAAAGTCTCTTGACGACAAGGATCAAACTCTCGAGCACCAAGAGGATATCAAGCCATCAACCACACCACAACAACATCTCGCTCAACACCAACAGCATCGCGCGAGATCAAGAATGTAGATGCTGCGTGCCAAAAAGACCCAAGCAACTACTCGACGCACGAGCTCCGCAACGGCGGTGCTGCGGCCTTATGTCGTGGCAGCATGCCAGACCTCGTTCTCCCGGCAAGAAGTCACCAGACGCACTCACGAACACACCAGCATCGACGAACAACCTCTCACCGACCTCACAACTCGATTGGCCCCAACCGCATGGCGTCATCTCTGGGGGGACCGCCTCGCCCACCTCTGGCATGGCGGACACCAACACGGTTGTTGCCCCAAGTAGCTCGGTCTTGATTGAGGAATGGCGCGTAATCAGGTGGTGTAGCGTGATTGGTAAAAAAGGTGTCCATTGTGTCGAATCCGAATCAGAAGGGGTTGCAGTTGGCCGTGCGCGGCCGGGGGACAT